GGGGATCAGAGAAAAAGAGGAAGACCCCCAGAGAGATGGATTGGTAAAGTGGCAGCATCAATGGGCTCAAGGTGACAACAATTGTGAGGTTGGCCCAGGACCAGGCAGTGTTTCATTCTGTTGTGCTTAGGGTTGCTATGAGACAGTACCGACTTGATGGCACCTAACAAGAACAACAACAATACTGGTGCTGTGGGATAATGCACCAGACTGCAAAGCCATTTGAACAGCAAGGTTGGTGGTTTAAACTTACCAGCTGCTCTTCGGAAATGCTATACAGGGTAGCTATGGGTTGTAACTGGCTCAAAGGCAGATAACAACAACAACAATACTTGTCTTATCCAATAAATCATTTTTATAAACTGTCAGTAATGGATTTACAGGAAATACTATCAAGGGAAGAATATAGCTACTTTAGTATACTTTTGATTAGATTTCTTTTTTGTTTTGTTTTTTTGTATCAAACACTGACTATGTCTTCCCTACTTCACTTTGACTAAGTCTGGTTATTCTGGATGGATCCTGGTAATTGTGAAATAAATATAAGGAAAATAGATATTATGGTAATCTCATTTAAGTCAAAGTAAATAAGGTTGGTGATGTTACTTTGGGAAATATTAAGAGAAACAAAATATATGGTCAAATAACTGGGGATAATAACGTGCAATGGAATGATAGCAGGTAATAATATAGAAAAAATATTAGATGGAGACCAATAGACTTGAATCCTTTCCTATTTCTTTAATACACAATTATTTTTGTTGCCTCTCAATAATTTCTGTATTGTTCCTTATCTTCTTCAACTTAGATGTGCTCTTTAGTTTCTTTTGAGCATTTTTTCAGTGAACTATAGTTTACATTTTTTTCTACTTGTACTATTTTCAATTTATTCATACTCCTTATTTCTTAAGTTCTTATCCATATTTAAAGGATTTTGGCCACAGAGGATTAAGGACAAAACATTCTGGGAAAGGAATTAAATCTGAGAAGGGAAGGAATATTATGTTAACAGGATCAGCCCTTGAAAATTGTGTGGCATTATCTTCTATTCTGCTGACCAAAAGTTGTTTGATAACTTCCTAAGTTCACTATCCAATTTAGTGTCTTTGGAGAAAATAAACAAAACAAAACTTTAAGTTGAAGGATCATGCTGACTATTACAGTTAAAATGTTTGTCTTATTAAACTAAAATTAAAAACATATAAATGAAGAGTCCAAAAGTCTTAACAGCATGTTTTATACTAAAAAGCAATACTAAAACAATGAAGCCACTGACATCTCTGAATTACTTTGTCAGATTTGAAAACTCCCATTACTATAACCTCAAGGTCAGCAGTTCGAATCAACCAGTCATTCTGCTAGAGAAAGATGAGGCTTTCTGCTCCTATAAAGATTTAAAGCCTCAGAAACCCTATACAGGGTTGGAACCGACTCCATGGCATATAACCACCGCCAACCACCATTGATACAGTGGCGGCAGCAACGGGCTCAAGCATAACAACAATTGTGAAGATGGCTGAGTACTGGGTAGTGTTTCATTCTGTTGTGCAGAGGATCACTATGAGTCAGAAATGACTGGAAGGCACCTAAAAACAACAGGAACATTGGATTAGTACTGCTTAATGGTGTGTTTTTTAGAATGTAAGTGGTAGCTAATGGATTTTGAAGCGGAAAATCTCACACTAATAAATCTGTAGGCTTAAAAACTCAAACATTTTATTTATAACATTTAATGTAATTTATGAAACATCTTTAAACCTTCAACTGTGATACAATCATAATAAAAAATATTGAAAAATAAGTTCAGTCAAGACGGAGGAGTAGTGTCAGAGTCAATGGCATATCTAAGGAACACACAGGGAGAAGACTTAAAGGAAGAACAATAAAGATAGAATGGGAAGAACATAAAATAAAAATAGGGACAGGATAAGGAACAAAAGAGAATTTTAAAGAAAGAAACACAGAGGATAAAATGATGACCAAAGGGGGGATTGTTGGAATTTTTTGCATCTTTGCTCAGGTAACCTGGCATGCATGGTGTGGTGGGGGGAATGGGTAATTGATTATTTTTGTAGTTCAGCTAACTGGCGTCTGAGTCATTTCCTAAAAATGACTTTTGACCTCTGTGTAGTAGTTTACTTACCCTAGTTACAATTTTTAAAGCTTTTCATAAATCTAAAATTAAAGACCACGAGTACAAGAACCCGTTCTGCGTTTTTCAATGCTGTGGTACCTGTTTAAAACAATGCTTATTACATAGTAAAAAAAAAACCCAAGAAATATTTGATAAATTAGTTTTCTATTGATAGGTACTGAATTGTTCATGGAGTCCTGGTGTGGCAATGTGGGTTAAAGTGCTGGACTGCAAGGTCGATTTGAACTTCAAGGTTTCCAGCTGCTCCTTGGAAACCCTATACAGGGTCACTATGAGAAAGTACCAATTCAACAACAACAAATGTTCATATCAGAATCAAAATGTTCATATCCCACAAATGTGTAGGGAACATACATTTAATAATACCTTCTTCACAAACTTGTGTTTCTTTGCATAACCTAGTTGTATATAAGAGTAGCAGATATATGAAGTAATTTCCAGCCTTTCTAATACACACATCTTGAATTGGTGTATGTCAGTTTTGAAAAAATCTTGATGACCTGAGAAAGCTTGTTTGCAGAAGAGAAAGATAATGTGTTCTGTTCCTTTGCCTTCTTAGGGAACACTGAATTGCTCCCAGGAGTTTTTCAGAAGCCCAGTCCCCAGTAGAGTTTCCAGTCTTTTCTTATTGGAGATTTAAAATCTATCAGTTATGTAGCGCCTGGGAAGACACATTTCCAAATAGGAAATGCAGAACATATTTTAAACAAAATAAAAGAGTATAAAAATTGTTAAGTTTGTATAGAAGTAGGAAAGAACTTTGAGATGAACTTGTCCAGTCACTTAATTCTAGAAGTTGAGAAACAATCAAATGAGTTTAAATGGCTAGCCAGTGTGTTCACAATACATTCACAAAGAAGTCAGGTCTCCCAAATTCCAGTCCAGTGATCTTGAACCACTGACCTTGAAGTCAGCAGTCTAATGCTCAACTCTTATGTGGCCAAGCCCCAACAATACTCTATATCTGCTTAATAGAAAAATTCACAAGAAAATCTATGAATTATACATAAATAGGATTGCTCTATCTCAATTGGAAGGGTCTTTTGATTTTCTTCTAAATTAAAATTGGCTTTCCTGAAACAAGATTTTGTTTCTTTACTGAATTGCATTCTAAGACTTTTTGTTGTCTTCAGTCTGGCCAGATGCTGAATAATTCCATTTCAGAGTTTATAGCCCTCAGCTCTTCTATGCTATTCAATGACTTGCAACCAGTTTCTTTTTTATTTTGAGCATAACCTCTCAACAAAGGCATTGTTGTAGCCTTTAAATGTAGAAAAAAATTAAGGCTTAATGAGAGAAATTCACACCAGAATCTGGGAAGTCAGGTTTGAGAGAGACTTCCTCTGGCTTAAACATAAAATCTGGTCCTCAAACAGCATAGGAATACCTGACGCCAGATATTTGCTTTGCACATTGGAAAATGAAGTTTAAAATAAGTTGGAGAGTACAAAGGTCAGAAAAACATGAAATATTTTTGCACTAAAGAGACAACTGAAGAATATTGATGGGGGCGGTGTTGTGGAATTCATTCTACAAGATTTAACATGATTCAGTGATTGAAATTTGAGAATAGGAGTGAGACAGTGAAAAATAAAAGAACCAATATTTCAGAAAGCAGAAAATTCCTGACAAATATTTTGCAGAAGAGTAGACTGAAAGGGAGTTGGGGGTGGGATGTGTAAGAGAGGGAAGCAGCCATAGTAAGGTGTCTTGTAATTTGAAAGCATCTCTCCTACCTGCCTGTTCAGAGAGCTTAGCATGTTTCTGTAAATAATTATCAAAATGACAGAGCTATATATAAGGTTCTTCTTAACAAGAAAGAAACAAATTACCGGTACAGGAGAGTGAACTACTGATGCTGCCGAGAAGACCAACACCCAGCCTATGATTAGTTTCTCTTGGGGACTGGGTCTTCGAGTCACACTGGTTCCCCAAGAGAGAAGTATAAAAGAATTAACTAGTAATGAAACATAAAGGAAGAGGGAATATTTTGAGGTAAATTCTGGCTAGTATAACACAATCCTCATTTAATGTGGTTGATTTGTATGTAACAATGCTCTGTAATAACTGACATAAGGGAGTGAAAAAATGTCCAGAAGATGGACAGACATCCTTTTACTATGGTGCCAAGAATGAAATTAGAAGAAATAAATATAAGAACGCTGATATGTAAAGACAATAAATAACATGAAAATTAGTTGATCTGTTTACTGTTTTCAATGATAAGGAATGTTTATTGATATATATATATATGGAGTTTGGGGAATGAAAAGACTTCGTAGTCTTGATAATAAAAGTCTACTTGCAAAAAAAATTGATCTTTATTCTTTATTAGTTGACTGGACACAAGTAAAATTTGTATTTTGTTATATCAATTTGTTCAGAGGTCTTGAGAAAAGAGATACAAACATAAAAGAAAAAATAAATGTAACAAGGTATTTTTAGCTGTCTGTAACAGGAGTCTTTTACCTGAGAGGGAGATAATTGTTCAGAAAGAACTGTGATAAACCATAGAGACTAGTTTAGTAGGTCTTTCTAGGGAAGCCTAGCTTTATCATTGTTGTATAGATGGAGAATTTTATCTCAAGGTTACTTTGGAGGCCTGAAAGTGTCATGGTTCTAGCTTTGCTTAGAGCCATATTTAGTTTCTACCTGTTAAGAAACAAGAGAAATAATTTTCTCAAAAGTAGCAGAAGACTGATAAGTGTTAGATTGATCTCAACGTAATCTTATCAAAATATTGACATCCCTAAAATTCATAAGCGTAAAGTGGAGAATAATGCTGGCAGAAATATTCTTTAAAAGCAATAGAGATGCATAGTCAGTTACATAAATCATAGTGCCCATGTTGCTGTTGTTAAGTTCCATCATAGCAACCCTCTGAGGAGTGGCTGGTGGTCTCGAACCACCAACCCTGTGGTTCAAACCAACCTTGAGATCCTGTGCTTTAACCTACGGTACCATACCAGATTCCAAGGGATAATATAAAAACAATTTAGTTGCTTAGGAGAAATACAATTGCTCTGATGTTCATGTCCCACATGACATTTTTGTCTCTTGCAACACAATGAATAGTGCATAGCTTTATTAATTATTCCATCACACCAATGTGCTTCTGTCCTAGATACACCTTTGCTCTTAGTGGAAGACTGAAACACCAGATACAACAGCATATTAACGATAAACGAAGAGAGAATCTAGGCAGAAGGAAAGTGCTAGGGAATTGGCCAGCTAGACACAGAGCATGCTATCATTTAAGGACTATCGCTGGGGTATAGGAGAGAAGGCTCCGGGAACAACCGAGGAGTACTAGTTGGTAATATGCTGTTGTTCTTGAGTGCCGTCTAGTTGGTTTCCATTCACAGCGACCCTGTATAAGGTTTCCAAGGAGAGGCAGGTGATCTTGAAGTGCTGACCTTGCGGTCCAAACCCACCTTGCAGTCCAGCGCATTAACCCACAGAGCCATACCAGGACTCTAGTTATTAATATAACTAGAGTTATATTAATATAACTCATCAAACAGTCCCAGAGAAGACTGAGAGCAATGATTTACATTCTGCTACAGCTGAGAGTCCTGGTGTGGCACTGTGGGTTAACGCTATGGACTGCAGGGTCGGTTTGAATCACAAGGTCGGTGGTTTGGGCTCACTGACCGTGCTTTGGAAATCCTAAACAGGGTCGTTATGGGTTGGAGCCGACTCCACGGCACTTAACAACAATGGCGAGACTGGTTCAAGATTTGAATTGACCTAAGCCTGTAAACATGGAGTCCTGATGTGGTGCTGTGGGTTAATGCACCAGACTGCAAAGCCATTTGAACTGCAAGGTCGGCAGTTCAAGCTCACCAGCTGCTCCTCGGAAACCCTATACAGGGTCGCTATGGGTCGGAATCGACTCGACCGCACTTAACAACAGCAACAACAAGCCTGTAAATAGAACTTATCAATGGATTTAGCTGCTGGGCATTGAGAAGTATAGTGGCAGAAAAAATTCACGCAGGGGTGAGGAAAGTAGGGACATTTTAAATATGTACTCTTTGATTAAACATAAAAAGAAAGTTCACACACCAATAAATTATTGATATTGCAATTTTGTTACTCTTTACTGGGTTCATTCATTTATCTAATGACAGTATATGAACACTTTCTATGATGCTGTTATTGATGTCATAGCACTGACATGACAGATACAGCTGTGATCACATGTAGTTAATGTTACAAAAGGGGTGACAGGGAGTCTTATGGTAATATACAATGGAAGATGCTCTTGTGGACCCAGGTTCATGGAAGGCTTCCTGGATAAAAAGATGCTGAAACTGAGTTCTAAAGAATGAATAGAAGTTAATAAGCAAAACATGAAGGTCAAATGTTTTAGGCAGAGTGATTAGTCAGTGCAAAACCAGAAGTAAGAGAGTTTGAAGCTGTCAGGCAAGTAAAAGAAAAGCAAATTGGCTGTGGCATTGCTGGGAGAGAGCATGCTATTATCTGAGTGTGGATGGAGAATGGAAGCCAGGTCTTGAATCATTGTGATAAACTCTGGTAAGGAGTTAGTGTTTTCATGGAAGGACAGCTGTAAGCATGTGAAGAATCTTAAGCAAGAGAATCACATATTCAGATTTCCTTCTTAAAATATTTTCTTTAATGAAGTATACCAAAAGCAAAAAGCAAAAACCAAACAACAATAAAATCTTACTTGAGTCAACTCTGACTTAATAGGGAAACAAGTCCACGAGAGCCAAAATATGACCTTGAATATATCCCACTTGAATTTAAAGATCCTCTGAAGAACAGATTTGATACATTAAATGCTAAAGACCAAAGACCAGATGAGTTGTGGGATGATATCAAGAACATAATACATGAAAAAAGCAAAAAGTTATTGAGAAGACAAGGAAGAAGGAAAAGGTCAAAATGGATGTCAGAAGAGACACTGAAACTTGCTCTCCAGTGTAGAGTTGCTAAAATAAATGGAAGAGATAAAGAGGAACAAGGGCTGAAAAGAAAATTTCAAAAGATGAGCCTGAGAAGATAAAGCCAAGTATTACAACAAAATGTGCAAAGATCTGGAGTCAGAAAACCAAAAAGGAAGAACAGGCTCAGCATTTCTCAAGCTGGGGGAACGGAAGAAAACATTCAAGCCTCGGCTTTCATTATTGTTGCTGCCACGGTGTCAGACCATTTCATTAGGAGTTTTCCTCTTTTTTGTCTTACGTCTTCAGAGATTGTTCCCTCTTGACAACATGTGCAAAGTATGTAACACAAACTTACCATCTCCTTTCTACAAAACATTCACGCTGTAGTTTTCCCCAAGATGGATTTGTTTATTCTTCTGGCAGTCCATACTATTTTTGATATTCTTCTCCACCACCATAATTCAATTGCATTGATTCTTTATTCATTATCCAATTTTCTCATGCATATGAAGTGATTGAAAATACCATGGCTTGGGTCAAGCGCACCTTAGTTCTCAAAGTGACATTTTGTCTCTCTACCACTTTAATGAGGTCTTTTGCAGTAGATTTGCTCTATATAATACATCATGAGCATTGATTGTGGATGTAAGTAAAATGAAGCCTTAGACAATGACAATCTTCTCTCCATTTATCATGATGTTATTGGTTAGTCCAGTTGTGAGGATTTTCATTTTATTTATATTGAGGTGCAATCCATACTGAAGCCTATAGTCTTTGATCTTCATCAGTAAATGTTTAGTTTTCTTTGCTTCTAGTGAGCAAGTTTGTATCATCTATATATTTCAAACTGTTATTTGTCCTTCTTCCAATCCTGATGCCACATTCTTCATATAACCTGGTTTCTCAAATTATTTCCTCAGCATGCAGATTGAATAAGTATAGTCAAAGTTTACAACCTTGGTGCACACCTTTCCTGATTTTAAACCATTCAGTATCCCTTTCCTCTCTTCTAGTAAT